CCACCCCCCACAGCTGAGGATGCATTTTGACTTTCTCATGTGCTTGTGCAACGCACGCCTGCTTCCTCCTCGCTCCCACTCCTCCGGCCTTTCCCCTACTCCCATGGGGCCAGCCCTCCTTCCCCACGCTGTGGGATGCTGTCCTCTGTCCCCCCCACAACTGCAGGACCGCTGGCACGTGATGGAGGGTGACACGCAGGTACGCTTCCCACCCCTCTGGGCACGCTGGTGTGGGTGCCTCGTGTTTGCACGTGCGTGTGCACACCAAGGGGAGGGAGGCACCGCGTTTCCCCCCCCTCCCCGGCTCCCGGCACAGGGTGAGGAAACTGAGACCTTGCACATTCATAGCACCCAACTTCCCCCAGGCAGGGCCCCTTTCCCAGCCCAGGTCGGCGGGTGGGGAAGGAACACTTCCTCCTCCTCGGGGGGGTTCTTTAAAAGCTGGGTGGCAGGCACTGCACCCAGCGTCGAGATCAGGGCTCCCCAGCAGCGTGTCTGGATCGGGCCCAGCCATGGCATCCTTGGAACCAGGTGAGCCCCGTGACACCTGGGTCCCCCCACTCCTGCTTTCCTCCCCTGGACTCCCTTCCCTCTGCCCCAGGACCCCCGGTTCTGCTCCCCCCCACAGTGGGGACCGACCCCCCTAGCCTGTCCTAGCTTTCCCACCCACCCCATCCTCTTTTCCCCCAAGCCCACTCATGATTCACCAACGCTCCCAGCATCTGTCCGTGGGTTGGGGTGATGGGGCCAGTACCAGCCACTCGTCCCCGCTCCACACCCACCCAGCAGCAGGAGCTGGAGCAGGGTCCCCTCCTGTCCCTTCTGCCCAGAAATGCACTTGGCTCTCAGACTAGTGAAGATTGGGCTGGGATCAGGGGGGGTTTAGGGACACTTGAGCTGGAGGTGGCATCTGATCCCGTTGAGTACCACTGACAGCCCCAATATAGCCACCCTCACAGCCCCCCTAGAAAAATGAGGCTCATCCCTCGTGGGGCTCACAGGGCAGGGGCAGGTGGGTCTGGGCAGAAGCTGGTACTGGGGCTACCACCCCACCGGTGTCCTTGTCCCCCGGGTGGGCTGCCACCTCCCCTCCTCCTTTTCCTCGCCCCTTCCAGACCTCGCTGGGTCCCTGAACCGGGACCAAGCCCAGACTTACAGCACCGGTGGAAGCTCCGTGCCCCCGCAGCGCCCCGGCACCCGGGATCAGACCTACCTGGACGAGCTCATCAGCATCCCCAAGGGCAGAGGGGTAGGTGCTGCCAGGCTGCCACCTCTGCCTGAGGGTGGGCAGAGACCCGGCTACCGCAGGGAGCTTGAGGTGGTGGGAGGGGGCAAAGGGCCACCACAGGTAGGAGGAGTGCCCGGGACATGCCCTGAGGACCTCCGTGTCCCCAGACCTGGCTCAGTCAAATCAAAGTTCCAGGTTGAGCTTTTCCACGCTTAAAGGTTTCCAGATAGGGAAACTGAGGCACAGGGTCAGGTGCTCCCCAGCCGCAGGGATCAGCCCACTGCTCACACGCTTCCCGGGCTCCCTGTCCTCGGCCACCCCTGCCCAGCCTAGCGGGGGTCCCCCAGGCTGCCTGCTCCCTGCCACCCCCTCCCAGCAGCAGTCAGTCCCAGGGGGAACAGAAGGGAGAAGGGGAAGGGATTGCCCCTAGCAGGAGGGGTGGTAAAAGTCGGGTTTGGCAGTGGGATCCCACAGGGTGCAATTCATGGTGCCTTGCAGCCCCAGGACCCCCCTGCAAATTGCTGCCCGACCTGTCCCCCTTGTGGGATGGGGGTCTCGCTGCCTGCCGTCCCCCAGCACTGCTGCTAACAGAGAGGGGCTGGGGGGGGGGGAAGCAGTTCCCTCCCCAAAGCAGGCAGGAGACATGTCCTCCGTGTTTGAAGAGCGCCCATGTGGGCGGCACAGGGTGTCTCAGCAATGGGTTAAAGGGGATCGGGAGCGCAACTGGGGGACGATGGTTTTGAATGGGAGCACACACACCCCCTCTCTGACCTGCCACCTCGTCCCAGCCCGGTTTCAGCTTTAGGAAACTCTGGGCTTTCACCGGTCCCGGTTTCCTTATGAGCATCGCCTACCTGGACCCAGGCAACGTGGAGTCGGACCTGCAGTGTGGGGCGGTGGCGGGGTTCAAGGTGAGCCCTGGACCCCCACCACCCCCACCACCCCCCAGCCCCGGCGTCAGGAAGCAGCCGGGGGTTTCGTAACCCCTCCTGGGCCAACGGCCACCCCGCCCC